GCTCAGGCTTATTACTGACTAGCTCTTACATTTAAATTAACCCATAATTCTTATCTATGTTTAGCCACATGGCTTGGTACCTTTTCTCAGTTCTGCCTTGTCATCTTGCTTCCTCTGTGTCTGGCTGGTGACTCTTGACTCAGCCCATCTTCCTCCCAAAATTCTCCTCCTCTGCTTGCCCTGCCTATACTTACTGCCTGGCTGCTGGCCAATCAGCAGTTTATCAACCAATCAGAGCAACAAATATTTATAGCATACAGAACGATATCCCACAGCAAAATGTGTGTGTGTGTGTGTGTGTGTGTGTGTGTGTTTTTAAAAGGCTGTGGTGGTGCTCAGTACAGTGGTATACCTCTAATCCAAGCACCCAGGAGGCATAAACAGACAGAGATAGACCTATGACCAGCCTGGTTTAAATAGTGAGTTCTAAGACAGCCAGGGAAACAGAGAGATGCTGTCTTTTGTCTTTTGGGTGGGGACACACACACACACACACACACACACACACACACACACACACACGTGTGTGCGTGTGTGCATTTGCAGGCGACATGGGACAACAAATGGGCAAGGACTAAAAACCAAAAGTTCCTGAACTTTGAGAAATTCTCTAGCAATTAAAAAAAAAAAAAATTGGCGCGGGTGGTGGTGGTGCATGCTTGTAATCCCAGCACTCGGGAGGCAGAGCCAGGCGGTTCTGTGAGTTCGAGGCCAGCCTGGTCTACAGAATCCAGGACAGGCTCCAAAGCTACAGAGAAACTCTGTCTCAAAAAACCAAAAAAAAAAAAAAAAAAAAATTGCTCTTCAGACAGGTGCTGCTGGGTGGGTGAAAGCCAACTAATAATTCGGGAGGCTGAGGCAGGAAGATTGTAAGTTCAAGGACTTACTGGGTTAACTTGATGATACCCTTTGAATGAAAATAAATAGACGAGATACTGTTCAGTGGTAGAGCACTTGCCTATGAGTATGAAATGTGCTAGATTCAACCCTTAGTACCACAAAACTCGCATACTCTGAAACTCCTGGTTGGCTTGGTTTGGTGTGGATTTTTGAGACAAGATTTCTCTGTAACAGCTCTGGCTTTCCTGGAACTTGCACTGTAGACCAGGCTGGCACTGAACTCCACAGAGATCTGCCTGCCTCTGCCTCCCAAGTACTGGGATTAAAGGCCTGTGCCACCACTGCCCAACCCCTGATACTTCTGTTTGATAGCCAAAATTATCACCATTCTCTACTTTTGAAGCCACCCCCACCCTCCACTCCCGCCACCCATTGGCCTTAAACTTAGAGATCTTGGATACTATGAGTAAAGGCATATACTGCCATGCTAGGTGGGCCTTCTTTTCTTTTGTTAAGTTTTTATATAGGTCTATGTGATATGTTGAACACACTCCCTCCCCCATATCCTCCCATTTCTCGCCCTCTTTTTAGTCCCCCTTCTGCCCCTAAACAGTGTTAGTTCTACATACATGATTTTATGTATCTCTATTAAAACTAGGAGTTGCCATTGAAAGAACATACTGTAGTTGTAAAGTTTTTCCAGTCCTGCCAAGCCCCGCTCCCCCAGTCCCACAGCCCTCTTATAAAATAATCACTCAGAAGCTTATATTAATTATAACATCAGCCATTAGCTCAGGCTTATTACTGACTAGCTCTTACACTTAAATTAACCCGTAATTCTTATTTATGTTTAGCCACATGGCTTGGTACCTTTTCTCATTTCTGCCTTGTCATCTTGCTTCTTCTGTGTCTGGCTGGTGACTCCTGACTCTGCCCTTCCTCTTCCTGTCTCTCTCTTGGATTTCTTGCCTGCCTATATCCTGACTCGCCATAGGCCAGAGCAGCTTCTTTATTAACCAATCATAGCAACACATATTCACAGCATACAGAAAGACCATCCCACAGCAACATACTATATTTATCTTTCTAAGATTGGCTTTTTTTAATATAATCATCTCCAGTTACATCCATTTTCTTGAAAATGATTTAACTTTATTCTTTATGTCTGAAAAAGATTCCATAGTGTATGTATGCATTTTATTTACCCATCCCTCAGTTGCTGGGCACCTAGGTTAGATAGTTCTGTATTTTAGCTGTTGTAGATAGCATTGCTATAACATGAATGTGGTGTGTCTCTGTGGTATGTTCACTTGGAGTTCTTTTTTATTTTTTAATTTTTTTTTTGTTATTTTTTTTTTTTGTTTTTGGAGACAGGGTTTCTCTGTGTAGCTTTGCGCCTTTCCTAGATCTCTCTCTGTAGACCAGGCTGGCCTTGAACTCACAGAGATCCGCCTGCCTCTGCCTCCCGAGTGTTGGGATTAAAGGTGTGCACCACCACTGCCCGGCTTTTTTAAGATTTTTTTTAAAAAAATTTTTATATGTGAGTGTTTGCTTGCATATATGTCTGTATACCACATACATGGCTGTTGCCCTCAGGTGCCAGAAGAGGGTGTCAGATCCCTTGGGACTAGAGTTACAGGTGGTTGTGTGCCACTCTGGGTTCTGGGAGCTGAATCCTGGTTCTCTGCAAGAGCAGTTAAGTGTTTAAAATAATTGATTTATCCATCTCTCCAGCCCCTTATAAAGTAAAGAGCATCCTGCTTTTCCTTACTCTCCTGTGGAAGCAGCCTTAGCATGCATAGAGCTCTGACACCACAAAAAAGGTTTAAATTCCCATATGTGAAGCAAATAGGGTTTTGGATCTCTAAAATATTTGTTACAGCCAGGTGAAAGGACACTATGTATTATAGTCCGGTTTTCTTTCTTTCCTTCTGAGACTAGGTCTCCTGTAATACAGGGTGGTCATGAACTTGCTGTGTTAGTTGTACATGACCTTGAATTCCTGATTTTTCTGCTTCCTGTTAATGGTCTCTGTTTTATCATTATGTCCTCCTTTCCTTGGGTCTTAGGAATTATGAGTAATATATTAGGGGTTATAATTACTAAAAGTCTGTTTTATAGCATTACAAGAATAACTAATAAAAAACTTAAATTTAACCATAATGGCTGTGGCCAGCTTGCTCTCCCTCTTTTTTTAAACTGAGGGACTAATTTTTCCCACCTGTAAGCTCAGTTGGAAGGTTCTTCTGTGGTGGGTGTAGCTCAGTCTGTCCCAGGCCCGGATTCCATCCCCAGCTTTTGCTTCACGTGTTTGGGTTCTGGTTGTGTTGTGATTCTCTCAGACAAGAAAAGTTACATAGTATTACTAAAATACTTCCCCTCTCCCTCTCCCTGTTACTTCTCTCTCTTAAGCAATTTTAATTAACTGTGTACAGTGACAGATGGTGGAAAAAGCTTTGTCTAAAGGGCTTCTAGATTTGGGTGGTTTGTCTTGGTCTGTTGTTTGAAGAACTTACTCTTGCCCCTCCCCCTCTGCCAGTGAGCTGTGATCCTGTTAGGTGGTCCTAACAGGCTATTGATTAATTCACAGTGCTTTTAGAGTAATAAGCCTAAATTTTGGTCTGTAAACCAAAGAACTAACTCCCTTGAGCGCTAAACGCCTTAGTCTTAAGGCCAAGGGAGGTACCTTCCAACTTCTCCACCCAGTCTGCAGTGAAAAGGAAAGTTAAGCCTTTTAACTTTTTCATTTGCCTCTCCCTCTTAGTCTAGTACGGCTGCCAGTTGCCATGGCAACGGACTGGGACAGCTGCGCAGTGGCGCCCAGGCAGCTGGGTGGGGGCGGGGGAGCTGCCAGCCCGCCAAGCCCCAGACCTGGGAGGGGAGGCCCCTCCTGTTAGCCCAGAGGGAAAGAAGGAACTGGGGCGATCCGGTAGGTAAGGGAGGGAACCCCTATTGGTCTACTTAGGGCTTCTCTTCAGCATGAAGGTATAAAGAAAAAAATTCTTTTCCTCCCTCAAACTGTAGAACACATATGTAAATCCTTGTTTTTTTTCTTCCTGGTGAGGCAGGGAAGGCCATAGCCACAATGCTTAACTGCATGCTTCCAACATGGGGCTGGTTTTAACCCAGCGCTCTGACCTAAACTGCTCAGCTCCCGGAAATTCCAAGGTGAGTGGGGGTGGGGGTGGGGTACTCTCTCTGGAATATGACATTTCCTGTCTGTGGTGAGGTCGGAGGCTGTTTATTTTAAATAAACCTTAATATAATTTTTTGATGCCTGGGAGTCTTCTAAATTAATGGAAAGATTTTTTTTTTTTTTGAAAGCCTTTTACCTACATTCCCCCATGCCTTCTCTCTCAAAGTTATATAGGTCAGAAATTAATACAAGCAGTTTTTGAGGCTGGCCTACCTACTGTTAATAAGTTCTTTAGGTAGGATTTTCAACACTACATTCCTGTAATGATTTCTTAAAATTACTAATTCAGAATAAATTAATAAATACAACTTCTACTTCTTTGCCTTGAACATAATACTGAGATTAGTTGCCCTTTCTATTCCTGAGGTTGGCTTTCTGGCCAAGATGGGAATGCTCTGCAAAACATCTTTAGAGATTATAGCAAAATAACAGTGGAGTCAGCTGAGATATCGATTCCTGCCATTTGGTAATTCAGACTATGGGTACCATTTAACACGATTAAGGAAGAATTTTTTTTTAATGATTATAATTTCAACAGTGTGGGAATTTTAAAAACTAGATTCTCTGTTGAGTACCTCTGACGTGCATATTTCTGAGCTTAACTCAATTTCCATTTGTGATGCATTGCCTTGGCTTTCCTGGGCAATGAATAGCCCTCTGTGTTCTGAGGAGGCTTCATGTTGATGCAGAATCTGGGGCCAGATTTCTTTCCCCTCCTCTTCCTTTGGCCCAAACTCAACTTCAGTTAAGAGGCAAGGTACCTATGTAACTATTTGGGTTAGTTGAGCCCTGGGAATTACAGGCTAGTCCAGTAACTAATTTTGAAGTTTTTTTCTTTGCCCCTCTTCCCCTGTATTCCCAAATGAGCTTGCTAAAAAGGAGGCTTAGTGTGTTTGAGCTGTCAGCCTTGCTTTTGTGAGCTGATGGACACTGAAGGGACACGTTCAAGTTGTTTAAGGGAAATGTACCAAGTCACTAGAAATGTGAGAGATGACCCAAGTAGGCGTGTGTGTGTGTGTGTGTGTGTGTGTGTGTGTGTGTGTGTGTGTGTGTGTTGCTAAGAGACTGATCAAATGCTCAGAGTACAAAAAAGTTACTTTTGGGTGTTTTGTAGGGGGGAGGTTTCTTTTTTTTTTTTTTTCCTTTTTCTTTTTCATTTTTATAAAGACCTTTATTCACCTTGGAGGAAAAGATTTTTATTCTGTCTTGGTTCCTTTAATTGAAGGTTTTCCACATTTCTCTTTGAGTTCCTGGCTCACAAGTAGATGTAGAAACGGTTGAGAATAACATACCATGCTATTTGCTTTTTTGGAATATGAAATTAAAGGAGTTAAACAATTGTGCCTTCTAATAATTTTGATTTCTTCAACTGAAAAGAACTTGTTTTTAGGGAAATATGGATTGACCCATCATAAATTAAATTTGTAGTCCTGTCTTAGAATAATTGTAGACCAATAAGGATATGTGGCTCACTTGTATTGTACCCTCTATTCCATCAAGAAGTGACAGTTTTAACCCTCATGGATTGTAACTATTTTGTCTTTCCCCCTTTTCAGGAGGAACCTGGTGGCCTTAGTCCTTCAGGTGGATCAACCTGCGACATGGGAAAGAAAACCAAGAGGACAGCTGACAGCTCTTCTTCAGAGGATGAGGAGGAATACGTCGTGGAAAAGGTGTTAGACAGGCGCATGGTTAAGGGGCAAGTGGAGTATCTGTTGAAGTGGAAAGGCTTTTCTGAGTAAGTGCCTTCTTTTCCAGGCATCAGGACTCTGTAGAAGTAGAAAACTGGTTTATTTGCCCATGAGTTACTATCCGTCTTTTTCCCATTTACATTCTTTCATAAGAATCAAGAAAGGCAGCAGACCACAGTCTCCCCATCAGGGAGCTGATGTTTTAATGATCTTGTTTTTGAGGGGTAGTTTAAGGGATTGGTTGGGAGCACAGACTTGGGAGCCGGATTTCCTGGGACCAGATTCTTGTTCCACCCTTTAAGATACAGGGCTAATTTCTTTTATTGTTATTATTTTAAAAAAATTCTTTTCTTGCTGGGCAGTAGTAGTACACAACTTTATTCCCAGCACTCAGGTGGCAGAGGCAGGCGGATCTCTGAGTTCAAGGTCTACAAAGTGAGTTGCAGGACAGCCAGAGCTACACAGAGAAACCCTATCTTGAAAAACAAAATTTTTTTTTTTCTTATTTTGTATGTATGAGTGTTTTGCCTGCATGTATATTTATGCACTGCATTTGTGTTATCTGGTGCCCACAGTCCAGAGAGCATCAGATCAGCTAGAACAGGAGTTAAATATGGTTCTGAGCAGCCATGTGAGTGCTGGGAACCAAACCATGGTTGTCTGGGAGAGCAGGTAGTGCTCTTTAACACTGAGCCGTTTCTCCAGTCCATTGGTTAGTTTCATAATCTTTTTTCCCCCTTTAATGAAATAGGGATAAGATGTGGGTGTAGCTTAGTAGTAAAGTGCTTTCACCTAGCATACTTAGGGTCCTAGTTTGATCCTCAGGTATGCCAAGAAAAGGAAAGAAGACAGACAAAACAGGGATAAGACATAGTACTTAGAGTTTTCAGTGATTGTGAGTAGACACACTTGTCATTCACTGCAAGTGTGAGCATGTGAGTTTAGATGACTGGAACTCATGTGAAGCCAGGCATGTGCGTCTTTCCCTGTGGTCCTACTTTGAGATGTCAGACAGAGACAAGAGAATCCTTGGAAGCCTGAGAGACAACTAGCCTGGCATACATAGCAGTGAATAACCCTGTGTTTGACCTGTTCAAACGAGGTAGCAGTCTGGGACCAACAACTGAGGTGGTCTCTGACCTCCAGTTGTACACACCCACACTCACATGCAAACATGCAGGAACATTCACTTAATACATATACGTGTGCATGCGCCCTGAAAGATTTGTAAGGGGTAGATTGTGGTGGTATTATGTTCCCCAAAATATTGTGCACCCTAATAAACTTATCTGAGGTCAGAGAACGGAACAGCCACAATATTAAACATAGAGGATAGGCAGTGGTAGCACATGCCTTTTTAGGTTTTTTTTGTTTTTGTTTTTTGTTTGTTTGTTTGTTTGTTTTTGTTTTTTGTTTTTTTTGTTTTTTGTTTTTTGTTTTTTTGAGACAGGGTTTCTCTGTGTAGCTTTGTGCCTTTCCTAGAACTCGCTTTGTAGACCAGGTTGGCCTCAAACTCACAGAGTGCTGGGATTAAAGGTGTGAGCCACCACCATGGCAGCACACGCCTTTAATCCTAGCATTCCAGAGGCAGAAATCCCTCTGGATCTCTGTGACTTCAAGGCCACATTGGAAACAGCCAGGCATGGTGACTCACGCCTTTAATCCCAGGGAGTGATGGCAGAAAGCAGAAAGATATATAAGGACCAGAAACTAGAAGCTTTTGGCTGGTTAAGCGTTTAGGTTTTTGAGCAGCGGTTCAGCTGAGATTCATTCTGGATGAGGACTGAGAGGCTTCCAGTCTGAGGAAACAGGATCAGCTGAGGAACTGGAGAGGTGAGGAAGCTGTGGCTTGTTCTGTCTCTCTGATCTTCTAGCATTCACCTCAATACCTGGCTCCAGGTTTGTTTTTATTAATAAGAACTTTTAAGATTCCTGCTACAGCAGATCACTTTCACCTTCTTGTGTGAGTCAAAGTCTCGTGTTTTGGTTATGTGCAGCATATCTGAGGCTAGCTGGCCTGTAGCCCTCAGTTCTGTCTTTGCCTCCCATCTTGCAGTGGGAACACCAGCGCATCCAGCTTTTTATGTGAGTTCTGGGGACTGAACTCAAGTCTTCAGACTTAGATAGCAAGTGTATTTACCTACTGAGTCATTTCCACAGCCGGACATCATGGCTTTAAAGTGTAGGGCTTCAGCAAGAGATCCTATAGCTCAGTAGTAGAGTGTTTGCCTAGTTTATGTGAGGCATGGGGTTTTGTTCTCTTTGGTGTTTGGTTTTGTTTTTGTTTTTTCAAGGCAGGGTTTCACCGTGTAACAGTCTTGGCTGCCCTGGAACTAGCTCTGTAGACCAGGCTGGCCTGGAAATCAAACAGATCCGCCTGCCTTTGCCTCCCAAGTGCTGGGATTAAGGGTGTGGGTCACTATCCAGTTGGGTTTTATTCTCAATACCACTAAAAGTAAACATAGAAACAAAATGCAACAAAAACAAAAGGTAGAACTAAACTTGCTAAAAGAGTCAATGTTTTGCCAATACTTTCAAGTTAGGTCCCTTCGGGACCTAGTGAAAGTTACTTCATTTCATGATTTAACATTATTCATATGGAGCACTGGACATTTTAGGTAAATTGATTCATGCATAACAGATTACTTAGCATCTCTTTCACCAGAGTACTATTATTATACAAGGTCTCATAGCCCAGGCTGACCTAGAACTATGTGGCCAGAGATAATATTGAACTTCTAATCTTCATGTTTCTGCTTCCCAAGTGCTGGGATTCTGGGCTACTACACTGGATTTTGTAGCACTTTGTGTATCTAGGCAAGGACTCTTCCCAGCTGAGCTACATGCCAAGCCCCGCTCCATCATCATATTTCTAAAGAAGAATGATAGCACTACTCACCAGGTATGAAAACCATTGAATGTGAGAGAGAGATAGGAAAGCCCTATGAAATAGGAATTTAAATAATACTTGAAGAATTCCAGGTTGTTCTTAGACTTATCATTAAATCACCGCTAGAAATACTTTGAAAGGAGCTTAAAGCATGCTGTTAGTCCGAGCACTCTGGAGGCGGATCTCTCCAAACAAACAAAAAACTATTTGAATTTTTGGTACCTAACATAGGTACAGAGGTGAAAGTTGGGGTAGATAGATTAAGCATTGTCATAAATGAATGCCTGAGATTGGGACTAGAGACATGGCTCAGCAGATGAGTGCTTCTTGTTCTTCCAGAGGACTCTAGTTAAGTTCCCAATACCCTGTACCACGGCTCACAGTAGCCTGTGACTCCAGTTCCAGAGGTCGGATGACCCTATTCTAGCCGCCTCCCTCACACATACCTTTGTACATTTAGTACATTTGTACATCTCACTATGTATCTCTGGTTGACCATGGAACTCTTTGTAGACCAGGCTAGCCTCAAACTTAAGATACCACCTGTCTCTGCCTCTAGAGCTCTGAGATCAAAGGTATGTGCCACCACACGCAGCAAATAAAATCCTTTTTGGGAACATGCCTGGGGTTTCATGAAAGGCTAGACTACATTTTCCTGTCAGCCCTGAGCATTGTCTGTAAGAGAATACCTAGCTGTGTGCCATGGCACTGTCCATATATAACTTGTGGTAAGTTTAATTTGTTAGGGAAGTACAAGGTTAACAATAGAAACTAGGGATTTGGCTCAGTTGGTAGAGTGCTTGCCTAGCTTACACTAAACTTTGGGTTTGACCCTAGCACTGCATACACTGGATAAACCTAGCTGTCAGTGGTAGAAGCAAGGAAGGTCAGGAACTCAAGGTCATTCTTGGCTACATAGTTAACACCAGGCTAGCCTGGGTTAAAAAAGCTACCCCCCCCCCATTAAAAAAAAAGTTTTGATGGATTGATGTGCTAGTGTGTTCTTTAGAATATAAAAAATCAAAATTAAAGCCGAGCAGAGGTGGCTCACTATGCTGATACTTTGTTTGTGCTCTAACAAAGCTTGCCTGGAGATCAGAGGGCAGAGCTAGCCACTAGTTAAACATCAAGGCCAGGGGCGGTGGTGGTGCACACCTTTAATCCCAGCACTTCTGAGGAGGAAGCAGGAAGATCAGGAGTTCAAGGCCACCAGGCGGACAGAGGCTCATACCTTTGAGCCTAGTACTTGGGAAGAACACCTTTAATCCCAACACTAGGGAGGTGGAGACAGGAAGTGATAGGGCTGGGTGGAGAGAAGAATGTAAGGCAGGAGCCAGGCAGTGGCGTAGACCATTAATTCCAGCACTTGGGAGGCAGAGCCAGGCATATCTCTGTGAGTTCAAGGCCAGCCTGGTCTACAGAGCAAGATCTCAAACAGGCACCAAAACTTCGCAGAAACCCTGTCTCGAAACACCCCCCTCCAAAAAAAGTATGTATGTATATATATATGGCGGCAGGAGACAGGAGCTGTGGAGTTGGCAAGTTAAGTAAGAGGTGGCTGTGGCTTGCTCCTTTGTCTCTGATCTTTCAACACACACCCCCACCCCTGCCACCGCCACCATATCTGGCTCCAGGTTTTTATTATTAAGACCCATTTAGAATTCACGCTACAGCTCATGCCTTTAATCCCAGCACTCAGCAGACAGCAGTCTACACAGAGAAACCGTGTGTGTGTGTGTGTGTGTGTGTGTGTGTGTGTGTGTGTGTGTGTGTGTGTGTGTGTGTCTCGACATGGAAACAATATAGTAAGATAGGTTGAGACCATTCACCTTTTATATATTTTTTTTTAGTAATTCTATCATTAATTGTTTTTTTAAGTAAAAATAAAATTCTTATTTTGTGTATGGATGTTTTGCCTGCATGCATGCCTGGTGTCCATGGAGACCAGAAAAGGGCATTGGGTCCCCTGGGACAGAAATTACAGAGGGTTGTGAGCCACCATGTGGGTGCTAATAATTGAAGCTGGGTCCTCTGAAAGAGTAGTCAGTGTTCTTAACTGCTGAGCTGTCTCTGGTCTCCTATCACTAGTTATTATTAATTTTTAAAAGAAGATGTATGTGTATGAACTCTTTGCCTGCATGTATATATGTGTACCATATGCATACATGGTCAGAAGAGGGGAACAGAACCCCTGGAACCGGGGGCTGGGGTGATGGCTCAGTGGTTAAAGAGCACTGAGTGCTGTTAATCTTAGCACTCAGAGAGGCAGAGACAGTAGAATCTCTGTTAGAAGCCATCCTGATCTACCTAGCAAGTTCCAGGCCAGCCGGAGACCTTGGGTTAAACGAAAAAAAAGAAAAAGAAACCTACAGAGAAGGCTGGGAATATGTCTTAGTAGAGTGCTTGCATAGGATACACAGCACTGGTTGGGCCCCCAGTACCATATAAAGAAGGTGTGGCGCCACATGCCTATGAACCCAGTATTCAGGAGGGAGAGAGAAATCTGAGGATGAGAAGTTCAAAGTTATCCTTGACTACATAGAGAGTTTGAGGCCAGCCTGGACTACATGAGACCCTCTTCCTCAAAAAACTTACTTTCTACATGATAGGACTTCATGTTTTGTCCAATCATTATCTCAGATTTTGTGTGTGTGTATATGTACAAAAAACTTGCTGACAATAGACTTGGGTCTACCACATTTGAATGAATGCATTCCAACTCCTACTTACCAGAGGTTACAAGTAATATCTAACACAATAGAAATTGGAGGTGTGTAACTTACTAAGTTACCCTCATACAGGCAACTGATGGTATGTATAAAATCATACTCTTTGCACTTAATTAAGCTTTTATAGTTGGACTTTTTCATTGGGGAAAAGCTGTGCAAGGGTTTGAACTCCTGGAACCTGGCTTATGACTAAATGAGCATGCTTACCGTTGAGCTATATGCCCACCTTGTAGGTTGGGTTTGTTTTTTGTTGTTTCTAAGGATTTGATTTTTTTTTTTAATTTTGTGTGTGTGTGTGTGTGTGTGTGTGTGTATCTGCCTATATGTGTCTGTGTGGGATGTGTGAATGCTGGGCAGGTGCCTGTGGAGTCCAGAAGGCATTAGAGTCCCTAGAACTGAAGTTAGAGATATTCAGGTCCTCTGCAAGAGTAACAAGCACTCTTAACCACTGAGCCATCTCTCCAGTCCCAAAATTGGGAGTTTTAAAAAGGTTTATTACAGTATAATTTATGTACCATAAGAGTTACCCACACCCGGTGGTGGTGGTGGATGCTTTTAGTCCCAGCACTTAGGAGGCAGAGGCAGGCAGCTCTCTTAGTTCGAGGCCAGCCTGGTCTACAGAGTGAGTTCTATGACAGTCCCTCAAAAAAAAAAAAAAAAAAAAAAAGTTACCCACTGATATTGTACAATTGATGTTTTTTGTTTTGTCTTTGAGATAAGGTCTTTTGTTTCTCGGTGTAGCCCTAGCCTCAATCTCCTGAGTGCTGGAATTAAAAGTTTTCACCACCATACCTGGCTCAATTGTTTTTGTTTGTTTATTTTTGTCTTTTGGTAGGTATTTATAGACTTGTGAGACTGTTAGCACACTCCCATTTCAGAACATTTCCTCAGTCTAATCTACTACATGTCTCTAAAATGTATCTTACTAGGACATGTCAGAAAACCCAAAAGAAAGCATATCTTTTCTTGTGTCTTTTTTTTTAACTTAGTATGTAGTTTTTTATATTTTCTTAGGTTATATTTTGTTTCTAAATTTTTGTTGCTGAATACTATTCCCTTATACAGTTGTGCCACATTTTGTTTATTCATCCATCAGTTGATGAGCATTTCAGGTTTGTTTTTGGATTTTGGCTGTTAAAATGTTGCTATAGGACTAAGGGTGTAGCTCTGTGGTGGATCAGACATAAAATCCTGGTTTGAGGTTTGATCCCCAGCCCGCAAAATAATACTGCTGCTGTAATAGTTTAACAATCCTCAACCCCACCCCTACCCCCACAACCCTAAGACAGGTTTTCTCTGTGTAGCCCTGGCTGTCCTGAAACTCACTTGGTAGACCAGGCTGTCCTCGAACTTGGGGATCTGGCTGCCTCAGCCTCCCAGGTGCTGGGATTAAAGGCATGTGCCACCAACCACAGCAGCTATAATAATTCTTTATGTGACTTTGTGTGGACATACTTTTTCCCAACTTCCTTCAGTGAAAATCTAAGATCATATTTTTTGGATCTTTTTTTTTCTCTGCAGAGCTGGGATCAAACCTATGTCATTACATGTGCTAGGCAAGTATGTTACCACTGAACTAAACCCTGAGCCTCTTATTAAATCTTTAAGTATAGAATTTCTATCCTTTGCTTACATGTCCTCTTTAAAATAAGCTTTAGCACTGAAAGGGGCTGAGGATGTAGCTTGCTAGCACTTGTCAGTTTTAGGTTCTGCAGAGATGCTAAGTGGGTAAAAATAGGGCATTATCATCATCCCTCAGTCTTTTCCTTTTGTCTTTATTGTCATTGTTCAGGGAGCACAATACTTGGGAACCTGAGAAGAACTTGGATTGTCCTGAACTAATTTCTGAGTTTATGAAAAAGTATAAGAAGATGAAGGAGGGTGAAAACAATAAGCCCAGGGAGAAGTCAGAAGGAAACAAGAGGAAATCCAGTTTCTCCAGCAGTGCTGATGATATCAAATCTAAAAAAAAGAGAGAGGTAAGTTTCTCCCCTCCTCCCACTTAACTATCCTTTTACTACTATCATGCAAAGGGAGGTTTAGTTATTTTTTGGTCTAAGGACAAACCTAAAAGGTATATTGTTGGACAAAAGCTTCCAGGGAAGTATGCTCATTGACCACAGTGACCCCTTCTGGCGGAGGGAGAGCTGGTGTAGCACTGATTCTAACTAAAGTGTCAAAACTAATGTGAAACTGTCTCCCCACTCCCCCTCCAGTGAATAGAAATGTGTGTGTATATCTGAGTGGATGCTGAGGAGGCCAGAGGAAGGTGTTGGATTCCCTGCAGCTAGAGTTACAGGCGGTTGTGAGCTCCCAGAGATAAGTGTTGGGAACCAAACTTCCATCCTCTAGAAGAGAAGCAAGCTCTCTTAGTCACTGAACCAACTGTCTAGCACCAAGAAGACTCTTAAATGTTTTTTTCTTTTTAAATAAAGAAAAGTAGCTAAGGATAGGGTTCATGAATAAAGGTGTCTGTTGCCAAGCCTGACAACATGAGTTCAAATCATCTCATATTGTGGAAGGAGAAAACTGACTCCTGAAAAGTTCGCCTTTGACCTCCATGTGCACCTGTCTGCCTGAACACACCAATAATAAGAGTAATAGATAACATTTGTTACTTTATTAAAAACCAAAACTTGTAACCGGGCGGTGGATGGCGCACGCCTTTAATCCCAGCACTCAGGAGGCAGAGGCAGGCGGATCTCTGTGAGTTTGAGGCCAGCCTGGTCTACCAAGTGAGTTCCAGGAAAGGCGCAAAGCTACACAAAGAAACCCTGTCTCGAAGAAGAAAAAACAAACAAACAAACAAAACTTAACTGGGCAGTGGTGGTGCATGCCTTTAATCCCAGCACTCAGGAGGCAGAAGCAGACAGATCTCTGTGAATTTAAGGTCCGTCTGGTCTACAGAATGAGTTCCAGGACAGCCAGAGCTGTTAAACAGAGAAACACTTTCAAGATTAATTTTTAATCTTCTTTTGTGTCTGTTCATGGATTAGTTTGGAAACTAATTATGAAGTTTGGCTTGACTCAGTTGCTTTTATCTTTTTGGTTTTTAGATTGAAGGTAGTAACATAAACGCCATATTGCCTCTTATTTCTCCTGAATCTTTGCCATGTGAGTGTTACACAAATGCACTCTGCCCCTCTAGCTTTGCCTCTTTCCATTTTATTTCAGGGTTATGAAGAATATATCATACACTTAAAATTTAATAAAATAGAATAAAACATCAATTCCCTGTTTGATCTGCATTATACTTGGATACCCATTTTTCTATACTGTTGCTCTTAACTCTTAACTACACCTTAGAACCACCCAGAGTTTCTGTGGGTAGAAGCTTTGGGGCTCTATAAAGGCTTGTATATAATTCTTGGCCTCTGGAACTGGGGGCTGTTCCTGTCTGGCTCTTTTCTCTGGTTAATTGTATTTTTATAACCATTGTTTGTTTGTTTGTTTGAGACAGGGTATGTAGTCCTAGAGCTTGCTATGTAGACCAGGCTGACATCTAACTCACAGAGATCCTCTTGTCTCTGCCTCCTGAGCACTAAGACTAAAGGCATGAGCCAGTATGCCTGGTTGCAACCTTATGCCAGATTCTGGAAAGGGGTGAATATCATTATGATAAACTATATTGATAAAGAATTTAAGGAACATTTTCTGAGGAAATACCACTTGATTGTGCGTGCGTGCGTGTGTTGTTTGAGATAAGGGCTCACTCTATAGTCTTGGCTGGCCCGAAACTCACTGTATAGACCATCCTGGCCTCATAGTCTCTGTCTGCCTTTGCCTTTCAGATCTCCCTGTGCTCTTTTTAAATTTTATTTACATATTTAATACATTTTACTATTTTTCATGTGCGTGTGAGTGTGCGTTCCACTGCACATGTGTAAAAGGTAGAGAACAACTTGGAAAAGTCAGTTATTTTCTTTGGCCAGGTTGGTCTTGGGGATTGAAATAAGATCCTTAGGCTTAAAGCAGGCACCTTTACTGACTAAGCAGCCAGCCTCTTTTTGTTGTTGTTTTGTTTGATTAGCCCTTGTATTCTGGCTTTTGTCGTTTGGTTCTTTTCTAGTTAAGTTGAAATAGCAAAATAACACAACCAAAGACTTTTAACTATGTATTTGTGAGAGATAGTAAACATTTCTTCAACTCAAGGTCTTTGTTCTATTAAAGGCAGTGATCTGGCTCGGAGTCCCTGGCCACTTGAGAGCGCTTCATGTCTATCTAGGTTCTGGAGCTGCTGACCTTGAAAACAACCTCCGCACATCCTTTACATCATGTTTGTCTGGGCCTCTGATAGCATTCTGAGCAATACTGGCAGCTGTCAGGTAGACAGCTCGCATGATACGTAGTGGTTGTGTATTTTCAAGTACGGGGGATTTCATTTCTTTAGACCGCTGCAGAAGAAATTTCTTGGTTGGTTTTATGCCTGATTTAAGATTACTGCCGGTGATGATTTTAATGTTTTCCTTGCCTTGGCTCCTTTCAGCAGCTTGAACATTCTTTTTTTCATTTTCCTCCCTCTGTAGTAGACTGTTTCCAGCCGCCAGCGATGATGTATGACTTAGTCCCTGTGCCAGCATTCCAGCTGTGAGCAGCTGTGTTTGCATCTGGGAACCTATTCCCCTTAAATGCCCCAAAGAATCTGTGTCTTAAAAAGCCAGTATCTTTCCGTTGATTCATGGCTGGAATTTCTTTCCTGTTGTGGCTTCTGGTATCTTTGAGGACCACCAGGACTGTGCAAGCTTTTGTGTTCCTATTTTTAAATTTTCATTTATTTATTTGTTCATTGTGTTGGGGGACATCATGCACTAGTGTAGGTCAGGGAACATGTGGGAGTTGGTATTCTCCATCCACCATGTGAGTCCCAGGGATCAAACTCAGGTTGTCAGACTTGCCTACAAGCCCCTTTGTCCACAAGCCATCTCACTGACCTTTTGTATCTCAAAAGAAAGTAAGATGATCAGAAAGATGTTAGGAAAATCACACACCCCAGATTTGGTTCATTTGGAAAATCTTAAGTTTTTCTTTGTGTTGCTAATGAGTTTGCATTATCTCTTGTAAATTTTAGAACAGTTATGATGTGTCTAATTTAGACTTTTTTGTTCTGATGAGTGCCGTTACACCTGAATCAGCCTCTGCTGTGTGTAGATGACGGAATTAATTACCTGAGAGCAAGTCCCAGTACTCTTCTCAGTTCAGTGGCCTAAAGTCTCAGTCCAGTCCCAATTAATGCTAATAGCCTGTCTGTGTTGCAAGGGGCTGAGCAGACCAGGGGCTCCTCTCCCAAGTATATGTAAACTAGTGTTTGTGATCTTTGAAATTTGCCCTTTTTAGGGTATTGATTGGTCTTACATTCTTCTTGCCTCTGTTTTTACAATATAGATGACTGTGTGAAATATTAAATCTATTGGTCACTGTTAGATAAAAGTCTAAAAGGTTATGGTTGAGAAAGCATATCTGAAATTAAGAGAGTGAGAATGAGCTTGTTTCGTGTCTCAGGAACAAGAGTAGAGGGGTCAGCTTGAAATACTGAAGAGGAGGTCCTAAAGGTCAGGGTCATTTGCAAGGAATACCAGGAAAAACAACTGCATCTTCTTGCATAAATATCTCTTGACTTGGTTACTGGTTGTTCTAGAAGTATGTTCCTTGAGTTCTAAGGGTTTTTCTGAATTGATGACAAATGATGTCAAGTGATGTTAACAAAGGCTATGATTTGTTGTTCTGAGGAACCATTTTTTTTTTGTTTGTTTTTGTTTTTATTCTTTCTGTAAGCTCTAATCTCTCCTGTTCTATTTATAGCAGAGCAATGATATCGCTCGGGGCTTTGAGAGAGGACTGGAACCAGAAAAGATCATTGGGGCAACAGATTCCTGTGGTGACTTAATGTTCTTAATGAAATGGTAAGAGAAGTTGGGCCTCACTCTACAGTTATGTTCCTTTGCTATAAAGAAAGGATGTAAAACTGAGAATTCCTAAATTTAATTCTTAACCAACACTGATGTCAGTATTAAGTGGGGATTGTGGTTCAGAATGGGTTTGTGACATTCTCAAGCTTTGGTATTATTGTATCATAGTAACCTGCATGTCAGAAAAATTAATTTAGGGTAAAATATTTGTAGCCATCCCTAAACATCTTTTTGCATGGAACTGAATCATTTGCTGTAAGATTGTGAGCTTGTGACCATGGGATAAGGGCTAAGTAAAGCTTCTTCCCATCACTGAGGGTCAGGATCACTGAGAGATTTCTAAAAGAGAAATTATTTTCAACAAAGGGCATTAAGATTAATGCTGAATAAAGCACAAAATACTTACCAGAAATAGTTACTTCTGGAAGAAAGTGGAGTACTTCATCCCTCCCTCCCTCCCTCCTTTTCTGACAGGGTCTAATATAGCTCAAGCTGGCTTTGACCTCAATGTGTAGTCCAGGATATTGAACTCATTCTCCTGTCTCCATCTCCCCAGGGCTGGAGTTACAGGATTACAGGCATGTCCTCACCATGCCTGACTGGATTTTTTCCTCTTCCCTATTCTTTTTCTTTCCCCTCCTTTCATCTTTCTTTTAAGATTCATTTTTTGTTCATTTTATGTGTATGTATGTTTTGCCTGAATATATGTATGTGCACCATGTGTGTACAGTGCCTGCAGAAGCCAGAAAAAGGCATTGGATCCCCTGGAACTGACGTTACAGGCAGTTGTGAGCTGCTATGTAGGTACTGGGAACTGGGAACTGAGCTTGGGTCCTCTGCAGTAGACCTGGCTGGCTTTGAACTCAGAAATCCATCTCCTTCTGCCTCCCAAGTGAACAGTAGAATGCATTCTTAACTGCTGAGCCAACTCTAACCCCTAGGGTGTCATCCTCTAGAGCTAGAGAAAGAGACAGTTGTAAGCCCCCAGCTTACAGCTAGTGCACTGAACCTGAGTCCTCTGTAGCAGCCATCTCTTCTTCAGCTTTTTCTTTCTTATGTTTTGATGCTAAAGATCAAATACAGAGGCGCCACCACTGAGTTATACCTCCAGCCCTTTAAAGATCCCTTTATTTGAGATCAAAGTGTAAGGAGGAGAACATTCAGACAAATACCTCTGTCTCACTTCTCCTTCTAAGTCTTATGTTCTTTCTTTCCAGGAAAGACACGGATGAAGCCGACCTGGTTCTTGCAAAAGAAGCTAATGTGAAATGTCCACAAATTGTGATAGCATTTTATGAAGAGAGACTGACGTGGCATGCATATCCAGAAGATGCGGAAAACAAAGAGAAAGAGAGCTCGAAGAGCTAAAGGAGGGGGTGGTCTCTGTCATTTCTCTTTGTATATAATACGTTCACCTTCCTGCCTCCTCTCCCTTCTCCCATCCTTTTCCATCCTAAACACATCCATAAAAATATGTGCTTATCACTGTGCTTCATGGGAGAGATGTTGGTATTGGTTCTCTTGTAATATAACTGATGGTCGGATTCATAAGTGTAACTCTGTGAAAATCAGGCATTTACATGCCGTGTGTAATTCCCACAGTTTTTCCTTTTACCCTGATCTTTTTCTTCTGCTCCCCTGTAACATTTTAATCACCTTATAGAGTCATCATCTTTTTGGGCCAGTTGCTTTTTAAGCTGGGGGATTTTATTACAATGATGATGACTTCAGTTTCTTTTCATTGTTATTAGAATGTATTGATGACCACCTTTGTTTGGACATAGAAAGGATGTTGTCCATCTTTTAGAAAGCCTGTAGCAGTGGCCTACTTGTGTCTTTTCCCGTCTCATCTATCTCTGCCTGGTTTGGTCTTCTGGGCCACCCGTTTGTTCTCACCCTTCCGTAACAACTCTGCTCTTTTGAGGGCTTGAAACTTTACATTTAAATCTGTCAAGGCACTCTCTTTAGCCCTCAGGCTTTTGGCTTTTTTATTATCAATCCCTGATTCTGCTTCTGTAAGGTGGCATAAAATGACAAGATGAACTGTGGAGTCTGTAAACTGTAGTGCAGGAGGACAGTAGGATGAGGCCAGATACAGTTGTCTTTGGTATTACATGGTATATATGTATTCTTTCCTTTCATCCCTCATATTTAGACTATATCTATTGATGTAGGTATGAGTGATTGCCTGGGGCTTGCTTGTGCCAAGGTGCTGGGCACCCTCTAACCCTGCCAACTTTTATGGCCTCCCAAAGCTTCCTGTTACCAAAGAGGCATCAGAGTAAATTCACCTCTTAGTGGACTCACATTCCCTTATGTGCCATTATTTTCAATTGGGAATTCTTAGAGAGAAGCCACTAGCCACAGTATCAGTTTTTAAATACTCACAGTAGTACTAATCTCTAAATTTACTGCCTCATGACTCCTGGATTTGCCACCAAGTCCTCAAAGTATTAATGTTCCTTACCTTCTCCACCCTCAGACTTTTAGTTGTATCTTATTTTTTAAAACTGTATTTTCTTGGAAGACTATCATCTCAGAAAGTGACAGGTCTTGACATTAACTTTTTGGCACAACCTTCTCACAAGAAACTTTCCTTTTTGGCTTACTCTTGCTTTGCTGTTAATATGTTCTGACCCTGCTCTGCTTTTTTGTCCTTTAAGAAATGCCACCTTCTCTTCATTCTTGTATAGTTGAGGAGGCTGGAGAATCAGGACTAAAAGTAAGGAAATAACAGGGTTTGGAGCTAAGTACTCTTGTCCCAGCTCCAAGGCTGAGGATAAAAGAATAAATGCTGAGGTAGCCTTAATGCTAGGCTTAATCAGCTACTGAGGCTGTTTTTGTTGTTGCTTCTGATTCTTATAACATAGCTGTCTGGGTTGGAACATCCAACCATTTCTGGATTATTCATGGTAATGAGAGAAGTGGATGGAGTGCTCCAGTCCACAGATGAGCCAAATAATGTGCAAATCATAGACCCATTCATAGCATTTGTTAGCTTTGCTTTTCTGCTCAATGCTGATTGAATCCTGTGTGCTTGCATAAATATGTCAACAGTTAGACTGCACAGCGGAGAAGACAGCTGCTGCAGTGACGAGGCAGACAGACAATGAAGCTTTGCCCTGAGTCAGCCAGGGAGAGCCTGTGGGTGGTGATGTGGTCAGGGAAGAGCACCTCACCCATACCTCACATGGGTGAGTGTTTCTCTCTCCATAATCCATTGCAAGAGTTAGAGGCTAGATCAAGTTCTGGATAAGTGACTGTTGTCTGTACTTAACTTGAGGAAAGGAAGGAAGGGTGGTTAGAAAGCAGATTTGCCATATAAACAACCAAGGATAGTAGTAATTAGAGTAGATGAAAATGAGAAAGAATAAGCCAGAGCTCCTGGTGTGATCTGAGTCTCTTGATTGAAAACTGGAAGAAAGAACAACCTGTCTGGGTAGTCAGTGGTAGTGGGCTTGTAAATTGGGGTGACAAAATCTTTTAAAGCCAAAATCTTAGCCTGTGGGCAAACGTAACAGTACATATTTGGTACTTGATAGTAAGACTGCTCCTAAGAAGCCAGGCCTGGTGGCTTAAGCATATAGTCCCAGACTGTGATACAGGAGTGTTTTATGTTCCAGGCTTTCTGGGAAACTTAGTGAGACCCTTTCTCAAAATAAAAAGTATAAAAGACTGAGGATATAGTTTGTTGAGAGTTCAATACTTTGTAATGCAAAAAAGTCTAGGGAAGGAGTGGCCCTGAGAAGCCTACAGTGCATAATTGCTGAGACAGTAGATGGTGTTTAACAAGATCGTGTACTATTTGCCATTGTTTTAATAATCTTTACTCCATCTTTTCGGTCCTCAGTTCATGGTTTTCTGCTAAGTATTACCAAAATGTCCTTGTTCTTAATATTATTGCTGGTTATATCTAGAAATAGAGAACTGTGATTTCAGTATTATCTTAAGTGTGAAGAAGTCAGACACCCGCCTGTGCCTCTAGCTTGTGTTGGTGCCAAGTAGCTTGTTTCTGCTAGAGGATGGCAGCCTCAGATAGAAGAATTTCCTACAGATTTCTTCCCTTTAAAGAGTTTGCAGCCAAAGGTGAAACACTATTAAACACCTAAGTATATTTTCCTGTGTAAATCCTTTTCAGAACTAATTTTGTGGTATTAGGAATTGAACCCTGGGGTAGCTTAGACACGCCAGGCAGGTACTCTACCACTGAACTGATATGTGCCCCATGCCCGACATACACCATTTTGTTGTAGAGCAGGCTGGCCTCACACTCAAGATCCACTTGCCTCTGCCTCCTGAGTCCTGGGATTTAAAGGCTGCCTTGGCCTATTGTTTGAAAGTTTTATATACCAGGCTAGCCCCAACTTGTGGTATAGTCAGAGGTGACCTTGAATTCTTGATCCTCCTGCCTCTGCCTCCCAATCCCAAGGATTACAAGTGTGCCACCATGCCTGGGTCTCTCAGCCCCGTTTTAAAATTTTTATTTTGAGACTGGCCCTTCAAAGTTACTAATGTTAGATGGGTATGGTGGTGCACACCTTTAATCCCAGCATTTAGGAGGCAGAGCAGGTGGATCTCTGAATTGGAGGCCAGCCTGGTCTATATAGTGAGTTCTAGGCCCGCCAAGGTTTTATAGACCCTAATCTCAAAAGGAATATAAAGAAAAGGATACCTAGGCCAGCCTCAAACTTAGGGTCTTTTTGTATCAGTTGTGAGGAACCATACCTAACTCAATATTTTTTTAAAGTTAATTACTTTATGTATATGGGATTTCTGTCTGCAGATAAGTCTGTACACCATGTGCATGCCTAGTTCCCTAGGAGACCAGAAGAGAGCCATATCCCCTGGGATAGGAGTGAGCCACTATGTGGGTATTGAGAATCAAATCCTTGTTCCCTGCAAAAGTAGTCAGTGCTCTTAACTGCTGAGCCATCTCCCCAGCCCCTCAAATCATGTTTTTTGTTTGGTTTTGGTTTTTTGAGACTGGGTTTCTTTGTTTAGCCCGAAGTTGCTTGGTAAGCTCACCTCAAACTCACAGAGATCTGCCTCTGCCTCCTTAGTGATGAGATTAAAGGAGTGCACCCACTGCTGGGCTCGGAACATCTTCCTGAACCTGAATTTCTTTAATTTATTTTTTTTCCTGTGTAGCTCTGGATGTTTCTTGCTGGCTTCACCCTCCAATAGGCATGTCACCAAGAGCATGTTGCCAGCTTGACACAAAAGCAGAGATGAACGGGGTAACCCACCAACTTGACACTGTGCTGTTCACATTCCCACAACATTAGCACACATCAATATTGGTTTCATTCAACAAACATTTTGGTTCAGGATACAAAATTTATCACCGTTGCCTCTCAGAGAACTTTGATAACGGTGTGGGATGATGGTCTTTACAGTCTTGTATGTAAATAACTACACATACATAAGTTTCTGGTTTGGGGTAGAACAGTCCAGTGTACAGAAGGACGAGTCTTGGGCGGGCGGTTCAGTGGCAGAGTGCTAGTGGAACATTCATGGAGCCCTGGGTTCCTACAGGGAACCTTGGAGTGGAAAGACCTGTGGTCTTAGATGAACTGAGTTTCTGGCCATGGGGGCATTGCAGAAAATAAAGAGGATACAGCTGAGAACCTTCTTCAGCTCTTTTGGACTCTGCCAAAACATGAATGCCACTCATGGTTGCTTTGCTTGTGGACAGCATTGCCTGCATTACAGGTGCCTTTGTGTGCTGTGCTATGGGTCCTTATTTTAGCAAGTTGTTCACACTCTTCAATTTCTCACCCCTTTTGGAGAAATCAACATGAGGCTGGCTTTAAAGCCCAAAGCATACCATCTAATGACAGGCTTTGGCTTTTTTGTTTGTTTTTGGGTTTTTCAAGACAGGGTTTCTCTGTGTAGCTTTGCACCTTTCCTGGAACTCACTCTGATCCTCCCGAGTGCTGGGATTAAGATGTATGTATATAAGATATACCGCCCAGCGATAGGCTTTGTTAAAGCTTAGGGACCATCTGCCTCTGGGTCAGGCACTGCCAGTCATTTCTAAGCAGCACCTGTGTAGCGTATGTGAAAACCTCCAGAAACACGTCCCGGCTCCTCAGGCTTCTTCTGTCCAAGGAGGTGGACCATGAAGCCCCTCCCAGTTAAAGCTCTCATTCTGACTCGAAAACAAGAAAAAGATCATAGCTCCACCTGGATAATTGGCTCACTTCAGAAGTCAGAATTCCCAGGAATTCAACTAACTGTTCTAGAAGGTTAAAATGTGAAGTTTCTTGTTTCTTCTTTGCTTATGTTGACCTTTTTTTGGATTTTAATCTACCTCTTATTTTTGTATTGCCACTTGGGCATCAAGCTTGACTTTGGCCTAAGACGGTAGATCTTCTGTTCGTTGACAGTTCGTTCATTCTCTTGCCTTTTCTCTTGGCCCTCACTTCACCTAACATCATCTTCCATTGCTCCTGTCAGAAATATGTTTTAAAGTCTTTTTTTATGGGAAGAAGTAATCCACCGCTGCTGTTTGTCTCTGAGGTCGATGAGAGAAGGGGCTGAAAGACAGTGGTGGAGGAAGGCAGATCCTGCACTGGAGGCAGAAGCTGACAAGGGAAGAGCCATTAATTAAAGACAATTTCAAAGTCAACTGATTGTGATCATTAATGTCACAATAGATCAAAACCTAATTATCACAGCCTAGGTAAGAGCCATCAGTATTAATCGGAAAATCTAATAGGAAACTATTATCAGGAAATTAGGCCAAATTGAATGCAATGAACTTTTTATCATTCTCTTTTTGGTAATGTTCCTTGGCATTGGCAGGTGTGACCCTAACAGTTGGTCCAAGCCCAAATTGATAGTTTCACTTTTTGGTTTTTCGAGACAGGGTTTCTCTGTGTGTCTTTGTGCCTTTCCTGGATCTTGCTCTGTAGACCAGGCTGGCCTGGAACTCGCAGAGATCCACCTGCCTCTGATAGTTTCACTTTTAAAGAGCTTTTTTTTTTTTTTTTTTCCCCCAGGCTGGCCCCAGTACTTAGTCTTCCTGCCTCAGCCTTCAGAGCACTAGGGTTTTGAGGGGGTGGGTGTATTCAGGCTTAATGTGTGTGCAGGGGGTGGGGTTTGAACTCAGGGCCTTGTACATTCTAGACAAGTGCTCTACCACTGAGCTATATTCCTAGCTCAAAGAGTATTTTGTTAGGGGAGTTTTTAGACAGACTGAATCCGAACTGTCATTGCTGAAACACTACCATTTGTCCAGTGTAATCAGCCATCAGTGGAATATATATATATACATGTATCTTAAAGTCTTGGAGAGCCCATGGTGAACATTGTGTGATGTGTCACTACGCCATCCCTCAAGTTCTTGTTCAATGTAGAGTTTTTCACTGGCTACCATGAAGGCTGTGGGAGGAAGAACATGTCCTGCTTTGAAATTCTTAGAGAACTCCTAAAAAGATCGTTTCCTTTGTGACAACATTCTCAAGATGTAAGTCAGTGTTTTCCAGCTCTGGCAGGTTCTCCCCCCACCCCCACCCCCACCCCCACCCCCATAGTTTTAAGATAGGAACATAATGATTTCCCACCAGAATGGGGGGGGGGGGCTCAACTGGTTTCTGTCCGCCTTGTTGGTTTGTTTCTGTTTTCTGTGTTACAAGTTATATCTCTGGCAGCGGGAGGAGCCATCACTATATCCTTAAGCTGTATGTGAAGATGCCGCCACTCTTGGGTGAGATGAGGCAGACTGTAGAAAGGTGTTTCCTTTGGTTGTCACAGGAGGAATACCAGACTAGAAGGCATTAGAATCATGGACACTTTACCTGCTCTTGGGCTCAGCCCTGCAGCCCTGCTGTGCTTCAGTTGCTCAGTACTGCTTACTGATCCTATGTGGAAGGGCCATGCTGCTTTCTGCATTTTTGGAACCTGGATTATTTTACTCAGTTGACTGAGAAATCAATGTCTTAATACTTCACTTGTTAAATGAATTTTAGTGTTTAAAATGCAACCTGATTTTCAAAGTGGCACTAACTAAGGTGGTCTTCAGAAGCAAGGCTCCTTGGGTTACTCCAGGTGAGCAACAGCCCTCATGTAACAGTCCGATGGTTGCCCTCATCTGGCTGCAGTGAGGTGACTGAAAGCAAAATGTTCTAATGGATACTGACTGTGCCAGCCTCCCCACTTGGTCTTAATGGCTGACCTTGGGCAAGTCTTTCCTTTCAATGCCTCAGTTCCCCATCTGTCAAATGGGGTAATAATACTGACCTACCTCATGGGGTGTTGTGAGGCATTACAGATCAGAACTGATGACTCCTTTGGGGTTGCCTGTGGAGGATGCCTTGAGTTGACATTTTTTTAGCCCTCACTGAACTGTTTCCAAGTTTGGAAGTACTTAGTGACCTTGGCAAGTTTCTGCCCCTCCACCCCTCATCAAAGCTGCTAGTTCAGATGTTGACAGTGTTTTGTGAATGTTGGAGTCTTGATAGTTCAGACTATCTTGGGATGTTAGAGTAGGCACTAGGGTTTTGTGCCTTGCATTCACCAAGAGGCTGTTTGAAACTCAAGAATCTTGGGTTAGAGAATCATGAGGCAAGAATGTTACAGCATTTCTTTCTCTGTAGGTTGGGAGTTAAGCACCTATTCCCATGGACTTACAACCACTTCTGTCCATGAGCAAAGCAACCCTGGTAGTTTGGATTTATATTATTTCTTTCATTTTCCAGACCGGTCCCAGGATAGTGAGATCACTGTTCCTCTGTGCTCCTAAGCCTCTGCTTCTCGTAGAAACCACATGGTTCAATCAACATAACCTTCCATCTGCCACCATTGGTTCTCAAGGCTTCATCCAGTTCACTGTGTGTGGAATCTGTCACCTCTTTCCCAGTGTCCACAGTCTGACCCTGACTGAGGACATCTTGGACACTTGTTTGCCCACTTATGGGCTCAAGAGCCTTATTCTTTCCGTCTCACTTAGGGGCTAAGGCAGCCCCTAGCTCTTCCAGACAGGGCTCTTTCCCTTTTCCCTCCTTGACCCTGGATTGGTAACCCGTGAAAAAGCACAAGGTCCTGGCTCCCTGGAGGCACTCTCCAGTTGTGTTAGGTGTACTCTGCTCCTAAGGGGGGTCCTGGGGGCGGTGCGGTTCTTTGGAGTTCTAGAGGATGGAGAAGGAGCAGTCTCATGTTCTGCCAAGTAGTAGCCAGCAGTTGCCTTACCCCTGCCTGCTGGCCATGTTCCCACCTCCTAGAATGGGCTTTCAGAGACCCTAGAGCTGGCTTTCCTCAGCATTGTGCCATTCTGAGTAGGAAGCAGGTCATACCTTGTAGCACGTGTCTGAATGGAAGTGAGACATTGAATTCTCTGTGGACTTTTGGTTTGTGGGGGAGTTTTGGTTGCGTTTCTTGGTTTTATTTCAGCCAAACTCGTCTGCTTTTGATTTCTTTAAAGGATAAATGTTCTATATATGTTTGCATTTTAAGTGTAAATGTTTTTAAAAATAGACATTTATGTCTTTCTACAACTGACATCCAATTCAGACATCATTCTCCACCCCCCTTCCACCCTCTTTCCCTCCCTTTTCATACTCTTGTATTGATTCTAATAAACGGTTGCTTTTCAAATATGGATCTTGAGTGATGGTTTGAATGTTTGTATGTGTTTTAAATTTGGGTCCTGGAATGTTAGCTGATAATCATACATTTCTGCCATCCTCCATTACTTCAGTGCTGAGCATCAAAGCCAGGACCTTGTGTAAGCTAAGTAAGCACTCATTGAGCTGAGCCCCAGCCCATTTGTAATCCCATTTTTGAAGCTTTGTGAAAGAAGAGCTGGCTGTCTGCGACCTTTCCCTGAAGGTTTGTTGGTTCCGACTTTATACAAACAACCACAGGGTGGCGCCAACCCTGGAGAATAAGCCGGTGCCCTGTGTCTGAGTGACCCTGCTCTTACTGGACAGTTCCGAGAGTAAACCCATGGTGCTCTGTGAGTTCTTCACCCACGCCGCAGAGCAGTCTAAGGTTTACAGTTTATGGTTACACTGTAATTGCCTCATCTTTGATTTGCTTCACAAATACTAAAGAAACCTGTGTCCTAAGGACCTGTGGGCCAGAAACGGGGTCGCAGTAGGAAATTGGAGAGGAAAGTGAGGTTATCTAGGGTTTATTGGGTTATATAAGTGATGTGGCCTGATCCTGGTGGGACTAGGTGGAAGCTTGCAGAGATAAGTGAAGATGGACGGAGCCTGGTTTCTACCAACCTGTCCCTGCAATTCCGCTCTCTTGTTTTCCTTTCTGGCTGTTGAGTTATAGAGTCTCTGCAGCCTAATCTCGTAAAAGTCTTATGAAGACATCTGTAGGTTGGCTGGCTTAATGGTCCGTGACCCCATAAACATGGGACAGGAGAGCCATTTGGTCCACCTCAGAGATGGGCCTTTGTGAACATATTTATTTCCTACTTCTGAGGACTGGGTCTGCTTGCTCCTTCCCGTTCTAGTTCTTTCACACGCCTCGGCCCATCAGGAATCAGGACTAACTCCAGGGGGTTGGATCCTATACTCCCAGCCTTAGACAACTGTCTTGGTTTGTGTCTCCCCACAGTGAAGAATGAGGTCTGCTTGACACCCAATTCGGATTAGTTCTTCGTTGCCTTATAAACTTTCAGTTTTCTGGAAAAGTCCAGAAGTCACCAAGCTGGTGAAATGGATGCAGTGCTGGCAGCTGGAGACCAGTGGAGCCTCACTGCGGGGTGTCTGCTCTGCTGGCTCATTGAGCACATAGCTCTGAACTGCCCTGTCGGAGTCAGCAGCCCCAGGCTCTCTCTGCTCTTTGGAAGGAAATGTAAGCTGCAACCATGATAATGAGAGCTGACCCTGGTTGAACAGGGGAGGCCATGCCATAGCTCCTGCCCAAGCCTGGAGTGACCTGTGTGTGTGCTTGAGAGAGGAATGTGTGACACTGTGCAATCCAACCCGAGTTCAGTCCCTGGAAGAGATCTGGAGAAAATGAACTCCACAAAGCTGACTTCCCCGTGTATGTTTTTTGATTTGATTTTTTTTTTTTTTTAAGGGAGATCTCACTGGACATGGTGGCATGCCTTTAACTCCAGCACTCGAGAAGCAGAGGCAGATAGATCTCTGAGTTCCAGGCCAACCTTCAGTGAGACACTATCTGAAGGGGGAATAAAAGGAGACAAGATGAAGGCTGGGGTCAGTTGGCGTGTGGGCATATGGCATGGGCACTCTGTGGCTCTGGGCAAACTGAGTCCACCTGTTCTGTGTCAGGTGGAAGGATGGTCTGGGTCTGAGGCACCAGCCTTCTCCCTGCCCTCCATGTTGCTTCCATGTTTCCTCCCCCTGCAGCTGTAACATCTTGTTTTCCAGGTGCTGTGCGGGCTCCCCCCCTTTTATGGTTTTTGCCTCCTGTATTGTATGTATTTGTGTGGTCCTTTTGTCTCCCCCCCCCCCATTTCTGATTTCTCCGCCCCTCCCAATTCCATAAGCGACCTTAATTTGGATATTTCATTTCAACCCATCATCTTTCTTGCAATAATCTGGGACTGTTTACAAGCTTGTTCTGCTCCATGCCGCCTCTGGAAGCAGGTGCATGTCTTTCTGTGTGAAATGTGGGGTCCCCTTCCAGACTAGAAGGTGCTTGCCCGCTAGCTGCCAGCTCCCTCGGCAAGGTCTTGTCTGATATAATTTGGTTATGAGCCAGGGAGGAAAAGATGCTGATAATTTTAAATGGGGGCTGCTGCGATGAAAGGTTTGGGTTATGACTTTACCCTTTACCCCCTCCTGCTACTGCTGCCTTTGGAGAAAGAAGCATGTGGGGAGCCACAGCATTGGCCACAGCTGCTGCAGCTTGTGAAATTCTGCCACATCTGCAAGGAGGCAGGGGAGCAGGTGAACAGGAGCCCTTGCCTTTGCTGTGTAGAAGTGGAATGGACTCCCTCCAGCTATTTCCACACCTGCAGCATCTCCTGAGGCAGCCTGCCTCCCCCCATAACTGTGGGCTTCCTTGTGTACATCCTTTCACGGTGGGAGCCAGGGGTGGCCAGCTCCGAAGGATCTGGGCCTGGCTGTCCTTTCTCTAGCTTCTGCCTCATTCAGGCTCATGTAGGAAGCTGGGGTGGAGAGTGTGACCACGCCTGCCTGAGGCCCCTAGGAAAGAGCACCACCACATCCTGGGCAGAGATGCAGCTGCAGCCCAGCCAAATGCTAGTCCTGCTCTGAGGGCTTCTTCCCTCTCCTGCCTCTTCCTGTTTATGGCCCTTTCTCAGTTCCTGATTATTCTTTTTCATGTCAGAGAGCTAATAAAGGAGGTTAAGTAAAAGGGATACAAGGGGGAAGAATACTTCTTTTTCTCTTCTCTTCAGAGCTCCAGTGAAGGGAAAATTGCATCCTTCTGGGAATTAGAGTGTCTCTATCTTCAGCTCTCCTCACTCAGCAATGATGTGTAAAACAGGCATTCATGACCTTGAAAGACCTGTCAGGGCTGGAGGGCCAGCTCAGTGGGGCCACATATGTCCAAGCATGCATGAGGCCCTAGGTTCTGTCTCCAGCATTGTTCCCCCCCCCCCCAAATAATGGCCACTTTAAAATAATTTTTTTTTTTTTTTTTTTTTTTTTGGTTTTTCGAGACAGGGTTTCTCTGCGTAGCTTTGCGCCTTTCCTGGAGCTCACTTGGTAGCCTAGGCTGGCCTCGAACTCACAGAGATCCGCCTGGCTCTGCCTCCCGAGTGCTGGGATTAAAGGCGTGCGCCACCACCGCCCGGCGAAATAATTTTTTAAGCCAGGCAGTGATTGCATACACCTTTAATCAGCATTCAGGAGGCAGAGGCAGGCGGATCTCCATGGGTTCTAGGCCAACCTGGTCTACAGAGTGAGTTCTAAGACAGCCAGGGTTACACAGAGAATCCTTGTCTACAAAATCAAAACAAAGACAAAAAAGCAAGTAAGTGTTCTTAACCACTGAAGCATCTCTCCAGTCCAATAATGGCCACTTTTGAGAATTTCATAACCTTTGGGGTGTCAGTGCCATCTCAGGACAGGGGTTGCCATAAGACTGGAAGTCACTGTTATAAAACTGTTGGATTCTTTGTCTGGAAAACAGCAGTTTTCTCTTAAGGCAGGGTCTTACTATGTAGCCTAGGGTGGCCTTGAACTTACTCTTTGGCCTTAGCCTCCTGAAAGCTGAGAATACAGGTATGTACCAACATGCCTAGTTTCTCTCTGAAATATTTGTTCCATTCATCATATCCACAAAGATGTCCCATTCATCAGCCTAGGGGAGCATGTGGGCAGCTGGAAACCTGGTGCCCAGCAGAGCCTCAAACTCCCTGTGTAGCCAAGAATAAGCTTGAACGTCTGATCCCTCTGCTTCTACCTCCCAAGTGCTGGGGTTCTAGGTATGCAACACCATACCTGGTTTCATGCTGGGGCCTTGTGCAAGCTAGGCAAAAAGTACTCTACCAACTAACTGAGCATCCCATTCCCTACCCCACTCTGCCCTCCACTTCTCAAACCTCAAACTAGAGGCGTGAGTCTGGGGTGTGGATTAAAGAGCTGGGTCAAGGGAGGGGAAGCTGTGGTGAGTATGTAAAATAAATGAAAATAAAAAAAAAAAAAAAAAAAAAAAAAAAAGAGCTGGGGTCAGTGTAGCTTGGGGACCAAAGTACAAGTCTGGGGAGGAGGGGGAGAGAGAAACAGTCTTGTCCCCGTGAAAATTAGCAGATGAATAAAGTGGGGAAAAGGAAGAGGTGAGAAACGTAGCGAAATCAGATGTGTATCCAACATGTTCAAGGACTGAGGAAGCCCGTGGGAGGTGCATGCCTGGGCTTCTGTGGTTTCACCATCCAGGCAGGCAGCACCCTCACTCCCTACAGACACAGCAGACTAGAATGTCACTTCCAAAGAGCTCTGAGTGATAAATCACCTCAGTATCTGCCCTCTCAACTCCATGAGCTCCTTGGAAACCTGAAAAATACATGGGTAATTTTAGGGGCCCCTGTGCATCTCTAATGGCTTTCGTTTGTACTCTTGTGTGGGGAGATTGGGGAGCTTAGATCCCTCAACCTCCAGGCCTGCTTTAGGCATCCCAGAAAGGGAATGAAGGGAGAGGCAAATACTTGGCAGTTCAAGTGGCCACAGGTGAGGATAACTAGTCCCTATTAGAGATCTCGGAGGCCAAGTGACACTTCAGGTTCTCCCCAAATACTCTGGATCCCTCACAAAGAAATGTAACATCTGGATGTAAGTGAGTTGGAGGGAAGGATCGATCGTTTGAATGTGTTTGTGCTCATTTGACTACTGTGAATTCCACCTCATCTAAGTCGAGCACATAATCTGCAGATCATTTATGAAAATGAGTGAATAATGCTTGGGATGCTACTTTGGAGGGATTTCTCTCCCAGCCAAGAGAAGAAGTCACTATGGAGAAAAGACAATCACTCTCTCTCTCTAAGCTTGCACCTTCATCCCCTAAGCAATACCCACCTCAGTCCTTAATGCAGGCCCCCAAGTCCTCTGTTCTGAGAGGCCTGGGAAGTAGAAGTAAGGATGAAAGAGGGAACTAGGGAGGTGGCTCAGCTGGTACAATACTTACCCAGCAAGCACAAGGTCCTGGGTTTGTTCCCCAGCACCATATAAAGCTAGCCATGCCACCCAGAAGCTGGAAGCTGCAGGTAGGAGCCCAGGGTGCTTTGAAGGCAGCACAGTCTGAAAGGATATCAAGCGTGCTAGGAGCCCAGGGCACACAAAATGGCTGGATAAGCAGGGTGAGAGAGGGTGGGCAATATAAACTCAGAGGTGACCTCTTCTGTCAGCCCCAAAGCCCCTGAACAGCTTAGGCTCTGGGCAAGACCATGAAGTGCTGAAGTTGGGCTAGGTGGCAGAGTCCTAAGCAGTGGGGTCAGGCTGTGCTACCCAGCACCACCAAAGTAAGTGTTGGCTTTCTTGTTGCCCAGGCTCTAACCCAGCACCAACCCTCTATCAGTTTCCTGAGGGGCTCAGCTTAAGTACTGAATTATGCTTTCATTTCTCCCAGGATACTTTATTATTTTTATTGTAATCAGAATGTAAGAACCAACAAAAGGAAAACTTCACCAATCTCATAACCTTATCATGGCAATATACTACATATCTTTTCATTTCTACACTTGACTTTGTTTTTTGTTCATAGAAAAAAAATCCCTATTTTTATATTGTGGATGGATGTCTGTTTGGGGCTCCCCCCCCACACACACACACATAACAGAATAGTTCTTGGGGCTGAAAAGATGTCCCAGTAGTTAAAAGAGCTTGTTGCTCTTACAGAGAACCCCTTGTTCAGTACCCTGCATCCACTGCCCGCAACTCCAGTTATGGGCCATCTGATGACTCCTGCATTCCAAGGGCACCAGGCAAACACTCATACACAAAATTTTTTACAATTAAATTTCCTTTTTTTTTTTTTTTTTTTGTGTGAGGAGGGAGAGTGATTCAAGATAGAGTCTCACGATGTAGCTCTGGCTGCCCTGGAACTCACCATGTAAACCAGGCTAGCTTTGACCTCCTGGCTCAGCTTCCTAAGCGCTAGGACTAAAGCCATGTGACTCAGCTGGTGAGATTACAGTGTGTAAAGGTTCTTGAAGCACAAACCTGAAGACTTGAGTTTGAACCCTGGAACCTACATAAAGGAAGAGAGAACTGACTCCATGAAGTTGACCCCTACACCTGCTCTGTGGCATGGTGTGTCACATACATACACGTTAACTCGGTAATTTTATTTTATTTTATTTATTTTTGTTTGTTTTTTCGAGACAGGGTTTCTTTGTGTAGCTTTGTGCCTTTCCTGGAACTTGCTTTGTAGCCCAGGCTGGCCTCGAACTCAGAGATCCACCTGCCTCTGCCTCCCAAGTGCTGGGATTAAAGGCGTGCGCCACCACGCCCGGCCAACTCGTTAATTTTAAAAAATGTTATTTGCACATTATACTTGTATAAATTTATAAGGTTCAAAGTAGTATGTATATACAGTGTGAAATAATTAAATCAAATTAACATATCCATCATTTCAAATGCTTCTCATGTATTATTCCTGTCTACCCGAAATGCTCTTTGCGTTCTTTGCAGGTGATGCAGGCACTTCAGCCTACAGCTCAGAGGAAACTGGCCGGTCTAGGTCACCCGTGGCCGAGCCAGGCTTGTTTCAGGCAGGACTCTCCGGGAGCTCCTTTCCCAGAGGCTTAAGCCGAGTCTTCCCAGTTCTCGGCCAGCAGTTTAGGGCCTGTGACCACTATGAGAGGCGGACTGATCCACTGGAGAACAGCAGCAGCTGGGTGGGCCAGGGCAGGGGACTCACTCAGTCCTGAGAACGGTGGGGTCAGGGAGCCCGAGGTGATTTTGGGGTTCGTGCTGCCCCCTGGCAGCCACGGTGGAAATCGCAAGCAGGTCGGCTCAGTGCGGGAGCAGGCACCGTCTGGGCCCTCGGAGTCTCAACCGGCTGGATGCTGGCAGAGCTCAAGTCCAATGCAGGGGTTACCAGGAACGTGTCCTCCTCCCCACGGGCAAGGGAGCTAGCGACGACGACCCTTTCTCCCGCCTGAAGCCCGGAGAACCCGCCCCTTCGCACACGCAGTAAGCGTTTCACTCCCTGGCTGGGTGAGGCTAGCAGGGTCACCCCTGTTCTGTAGCTCAGGGTCAGCTTCAGAGGAGGCTTTGCCTCCGGAGTCCAGCCACATCGGAGTTGGAACCACAGCCCCTTGGCCCAGTCTGGAGCTCTCCCTGCGGCCTGTATCCCATGCCCCAGGTTTCTCACCTCAAGTCTTGGGTGCGGGATGGGATGGGGTGGGGTAGGGTGGGGTGGTGGCTCGGAGAACTGAGTGAAGACAGGACTCATAGGAGGGAAGATCTCTCCTATGCGATTTTCCCAGTTACCCTTGAGGCTGCCTGGATGACCTTGGAGTGTCTGCGAGTGCTCCGCATTGGTGTCTGAAAGGACCCGGCTTCACTCGCTAATTCACCATCCACTGTCTCTGAGTGTCCCTGAGGCTCCAGACTCTGTGGCCCAAAGTAGGACACAGCAAAGAACAGACATGGTGCCTGTCTTTATAGAGCTCACAATCTGGGGAGTGCAAGTGACCAAATGTCTCTGCAGACAAGGCCTTGTTGCCAAGAGTCCTGAGAGAAGATGGTGGAAGCTCATTTTCTTTTATCTTGGGGCGTGTGTGAGATCACCGCTGTAGAAAGAATCTAGGGCTTTTTATACGTTAGGCAAGTGCTCTACCACTGAACTACATCCCCAGCCTTTAAAAAGAAGGTGCATTATTATTATTATATTATTATTCTGACAGCCGGCTTTGTAGCTCTGGCTGACCTGGAATTCATATAGCCCAGACTGAACTGAAACTCTTGCCTCAAGTCTCTAGAGTGTCAGCTAACATCTGAGGTAGTGTTTTTGTTTTTTTGTTTTTGAGACAGAGTTTCTCTGTGTAGCCAGCCCTGACTGTCCTGGAACTCACCCTGTAGACCAAGCTGGCCTTGAACTTTCAGAGATCTTCCTGCCTCTGCCTCCCGAGTGCTGGGATTAAAGGTGTGCGCCACCACTGCCAAGCAGAGATAGTTAAAAAAAAAAAAAAAAAAAAAAAAGATTTTTCAAGACAAGAGTTTCTCTGTGTACCCCTGGCTGCCCTGGAACTTGTTTTAAAAAATATATGGAATGCTTCATGAATTTGCGGTTCATCCTTGAGCAGGGGCTATGCTAATCTTCTCTGTATCATTCCAACTTTAGTGTCTGTGCTGCGGAAGCAAGCACAGATTAATTTGTTTTTAATAGTGTCTTTCTACATTGCCCAGGCTTGCTTTGACCGTGTGAGCCTTTTGTTTCAACCCCTGAGCAGCTGGGATTACAGGCCTATACCACCAACTCTGTTTGTCCAGGAGACAAGAGGGCAGAAGTGCAGTCCAGGTGGGCGACCGCTCCTGAGCTGAGGACGGCCAGCCGCCTGAGAGCAATCTAAGGAGTGCAGGGAGTCTCCGGTCGGTCCTCGGACAGAAGGCCCGTGAGATAAAGCTGCAGGGGTGCTGGCAGAAGGCGAAGGATGTCCGCAGCCAGAGCAGACATCATAATCTCTGTTCGAAGGTCTGGGCAGTCGCTGGAGTTTGGGGGTACCCCAGTCCCATACACCCCATTTCAGTAGGATAACGGCCTCGGAGACTGCACCAGTCCTTCAGGAAGGTCGGCCTGCGGCTGGGTGAGGCAGACGGATGCCCAGAAGGTGGCGCGAGCCGGCGGCGGCGGTTGGAGCCCAGACGGAGCCCGCCCCGTGTGGTGCTCACTCGCCCTGCCATGCCACCCGCCTACCACGAATTGATGGCCCGCAGCCGAAGGCAGCTGTGCGCAGCTGGGTATGCAAATGTATGCAAATGGCACGGCGACAGGGCTGAGTCAAAGGATGGGGGATGGAGCGCGGCGCTGTCACGCTCTTGCTTCCAAAAGTTCGGGTGGGGTGCACATGGTCCCAGTCCCGTTTGCTGGGTGACCGCAGGCAAAGAGCAGGCCCCGGCCCTGGAGGGATGTCCCCACCTGCCTGTTAGCAGAGCGTTGTTCCTGAACAAGCAGATGGGGCGCGGTAGGCCATGACAATCCCACACTCACCCCAGCCCCAGAACCCCCTCTTCCCAGGACCAGGTGATGTCCGGATCCGAAGGCCTGTCCTCAGTCACCCCTTCATTGAAACCTGTCTCCCGCCTCCCTATCTGAAGTCCTTCCGGAAGTCTAACCACAATCACACTTGCTGTTCGTACACTATTTTTCCTTGTGGTTTGGTGAAATCGTTCCGCAAGTCCAGGTTGTTGTGTTTTGAGTGTGTGTGGATGGGCTGACGGCTTCAGGGGCACCGATAGCTGCCGAGGACGTCAGGGAGTGAGCCCCTACCCCCGGAGAGGACCGGGAATCGGGTCTGGCGCCCGGCCGCTCTCCCTCGCCTGCACCTCCCACAACGGCCACACGGGGTCTTCCTTGCGTTAGGAATGGGAACGCGTGCGCCCGCGCCGGTGCGGGCCGAGTGCGGGACTCGCGGCCCCCACCCCCGCCGCCGCCGGGCATCCCACCGCGCACCTCCCTCCCCACCCCACCCCGCGCCTGCGCCCAGACGCCCACGACCTTCAGCTCCCCTACCCCCGTGTCGTGGGAGCTGCGGGTTCCCTGAGCCGAGAGGGCGCGGGAGGGAGCCACAGGGAAACTGAGGCTACCCCCGGCTCTGCTTCGTGGGGCGTGGGTGTTGACGCAGCCGAGGAGGCAGGGGAGATAGGAAATGAGGCGAAAGGGGGCGATCAGAGCAGCGTTGGGTGGCCCGGACGACAAAAGGCGAACGGAATGCAAGATGGGGAGGGGGAGGGCTTTTCCAGGAGGGGAATGGAGTGAGCATGGGAAAGGGAGCGTGGGAAGAAAACTGAGGCACCCACTTTCTCCAGTGAGGCTATATAGCTTGTAAGGTTTGACCGAAGCTGCAGTGGTGGTCAGAATGGTGGTCAGACACCAGGAAGAACTTCCCCAGTGGAGCCAACCCTGGGTGCTCAGGGTGACGGGCTGAAGATGAGCACTGTAACCTGAAACCCCCTCATACTGGAAACTGCCGAGGGCCAGGCAGTGGGAGGACGCTCAGGTGGAGTGGGTCGCCCTTCCCCCACGGAAGCGGCGGTCAGACCAGGTGCTCGCTGGCACGGCGGCCGCCCACTGGGACGCCCGGGTGGCCCCCCGCCCCGCCCCGCCCCCGGTCCGGGCTAGCCGGGTGGGCTCGAGGGGCGCGGGCCGCGCTTTGGAAACTCGGACAAGGGGCTGCAAGCTCCGTGCGCGCGCGACCACTCCAGGCGGGCGACACGGGCTGGGGGCGCAGGTGTCCGGCAGGGGGCGCCCGTGAGTGTGAGGCTCTGCTCCCGGTGGCGGGTCTCCTGTGCGCCCTCTGCTGGCTGCAGCGCGGCCTGCACTGCAAACAGCACCCTTACGGTCAGCGGACCCTGCGCCAAGCCTGGCTTCCCTCGGTCGCTCAGAGGTGCGGGGAGATTTAAGAACACAGCTCCCGCCCATCTCTTCAGCCGCTGCAGTGGGGAACCCAGCAGCCCGACGCCGAGGCATCTTCCCGTCCACTGTGGAGGATTCAAGTCCAGCCTGTTCCCAGCGTCTCCCAGCCTGGCCTCAGTGTACCACTTCTCTTCCCTATTTGCCAGAGACGCCTTCCTAATACACAAACCAGTTGGCCCCCCTCCCACCTCCACACTGCCCACCGCAAAGGACACCCCGCGGGCCACCTCGGCCTTACCTGAGTCCACCCGCTGCCTCCCACGCACACTTTCCGACTTGTCCCGCTCCTCAGCAGCCTTGGCCATGGCTTGCCGTCTTTATTAGTCGATTCCTGTGCATCCCTTAAAGCCCACTTCAAATGTCCACTCCGGAGTTTTTCCTTCCCATGGAGCCCAGCGTGGCCTCTATCTTGAAATGATGATCCTCTACCTCCAGCTCCGTGGTGCTGGATGATAGGTATGCACCACTACCCTAGGCTGTATGAATTTTAGAAGCATTTCTTTTTTGGAGGCTTTTACCCTAGGCATGACCTATTTATTGTTCTGGTTTTCCTACTTCCGTCTAGAACAAGATGGAGTTCTTATCCACACTTAGTGCTGTTGGGAGCCCACCTAAGCTTTCTCTCTGGCGTACTCAAGGAGGTCACGTGGCTCATGTGTGGTCCCTAGGCCTAGAGTGTGACCTCTACCTCCCTGTAAGACAATGGAACAAGTCATTCCCGAAGGAGGCTCTGCCTCCATCTCCACCTCCCAAGACACTGGCTGTCCTATTTTTCTGGTTTTACTGGGAACCCAAATCTAAGGGTGCTGCAGAGCCTAGTTGCAGGTGGATGGGGGCCTTGCTCCCTGCAGAGTCCAGAAGACTCCCTGGTAGTTCTTGGGTCCCATTCATCTAGGCTGAGGCTTGGGGAGGGGGGGCGGAATCATAAATTTGGGAGACAAAAGGACAGATAAAGATCATTTGTTGAAAATGGTGTTGTCAGGCATGTGCTAGAGAGAATATATACAAGAATTCCAGAAACCTGTGTGCTGGATGCTCAGACGCAGGACTCCGGTCCCTCGTGAAAGCTCTCACCTGCTTGTCAGTTCCTCCCTCAGCATCTGTATCCTCTGTATTCTCAGAGTCCTCCAGCCCTTTCTTCTTCCACCTGGGAAGGGTCTTGTGATGGAGAGAGACACCCCCACCCACCACCCACCCTGTTAAAGATTATGTTTTTGAAAGAGCTTGGAGGGGAGATTCCCAAAATTCCTAGTTTCTGAGTTTCAGGTTGAGGACAGCCAGATAAATAATGGCTTGCCAAATTAATTAATTATTTTATTAGCCTGAGTAATTATTAATCAGGCCATTAATCACCCAGCTGTGTCCTATGAATAGCAATTAGTTGGGGGATGGGGGCAGTGGAGAATCAGGTCATGGTTGTAAGGTCTGCGGTCTCTATAACTTCTCCAGTCCTAGGAGACTTGGGGAGATTCACATGGCCCCATCTCTTTCTCCTCACACCTCACACCCAGGCATGGATGTGGGCACTAGAATGGGGTCTGCCTGGATCCCTTTGCCCTCTCCCTTGACTGTCTGGGGTCACATGTGGTAAGACCACAAACACAGGTGAAAGGAAGTGAAAACTGAGTATGGAGACAGGGCTAGAGACAGTGACATGTGCCAGATGTCTCCACAGCAGCAGTCCTGACTGATCATGGACAAATGAAATGGATGATTGTATTGGCTCCAAGTTTTGTCCTTAAAACAGTGCTCTGAGTGGATGGAGCAATAGCTCAGTGGATAAGAACACTTGCTGTTTTCTAGAGATCCAGGTTTGATTCCCAGCACAATGGCCTGTAACTTCCCTTCTGTAACTCCAGTTCCAGGGAATCCAGTGCCCTCTTCTGGCTTCTGAGAGCACCAGGTGTACACGTGGTGCACAGCCATACATGCAGGTAAAACACTCATACACATAAAGTAATAATAAGATAATTTTTGAAAACCCAGTGTGTTGGATCATGGAAAGGCTAGCCACAGATGGGGGAGGGTGGAGGATACAGCGAGAAGAGAAGGTTAGGTGGGACGGGGCAAAGGGAGGGGATGGGGCACTGCAGACAGACTGGCTGTTCACCTGGGAGTTGGGAACCTGCCCCTCCAGAATGAATGCCTGGGGACTCCCGCTGCATGATCTTTCCCACTCCCTGCTCCCAGGACCTCTGTCTTGGCATTAGCAATGGACCCAACTCTTGACTCTGGATCTCTTGATACTTCCTAGGACTCTGTCACTACCCCATGGGGCTGGAGTGCGTGAGATGATGGAGAGCTGGTGAGGTGATGGCCTCTGTCACCACTCTCCATTCCTCTTGCACTTCAGGCCCTGTGGTGCCGGGACCAGGTGCCTCTGCAGGAGCCCCTCCCCCTTTCTGTGTATGGAGGTTCCTGCTTTGTATTTATAGAAGACCTGCTTGGTTTACAACCTGCCCAGGACAGCTGCACTTGAGGGTCTCAGGCTCTGTCCCTTGCACTGTGTTTACTTTTGAGGGAGGGAGGCTGTTCTGACAGGCCAGACTGCAGCTCAGGGAGGTGGGTGGCCTATGGAGGGGGCTGCTGGGACACAGGCACACCGGGAAGCAGGATCCCTCCAATCCCACTTGTTCCCAAGTCAGCTGGAAAAGAGGCTTCCCATGCCAGGACCACCTGTTGGGGTCTCAAGCTAATAATGGAGGAACAGTTTTCCTCCAGCCCCAGACAGG